ACTCGATCTACTTGTTGTAACATCTCCCCCCTTCATCTACACATGTAGGATTTTGTTTTTCTTGGATATACACAGCTACACAGCTAACAGCAGTCACACGGGAGTGTGAAATAACCAAAGTAACTTACACAGCTTAATAATTTTACTCCTGACAGCCACAAAAGGCTTAAAACAGGAAAGATTCTTACATGCACGTGGGTAAGAACGCTAATTACATAATGTCCCAGTCAAATCGTATCTGTAAGCATATGCAGGTTACCAGAAAAAAAAGAAAAAAGAAAAAAAGTATTCTTAGAACCGTAAATATAGTACAAACTACAAATTACCTCTAAGATCTTAAGACGTCACTCCAAACTTCTCAAATAACTAGGACACAGACTTAACAACACACATATCCTTCTATTCCCTCATCTTTTGGAACCCTAAAGAAATTAAAAGCCCTTACAGTTCACTCTTGAACAGTGTATTTAAAAATCCAAACATGACTAGCGATCAATTAAACTAGCTGCTTTCCGTTTAGCAGTTCATAAAAATAAATGAAGACAACTTCCAAACCAAGGCACCTGAAAAAAGAGGACCTGAAAGAATGAAATCAGACCTCTAACTGGCAAAATGACAGATGCAACCCTCCACAAAAATTGGACATGTGCCCCTTTATTAACAAATTAATAAAACAGGACTAATATACAGCATTATATTATATATGATAATGTTGTCACATGCCAGGAAGAATTCCTGTGTTATAAACACATGCACACTATCCAGAAGCAATAATTCTGTTTCAGAGAACTGCAGAGAACAGCACTTCAGTACTTAAAAAGAAAAAAGAAAAACACCACCAAAAAATGGCATTATAATTGATCAGATGCCCTTAAAGAAAGTCTTTCTTCCCACCACAGAAAACAGGCCACTCGCCAAACAGGCAAAGCTGTCTATTACAACATGTGTGTTTCTCTAATGTAGATTTTTTTTTTGATATTACTCAAGTTTAATGGAAGGAAAGCATGTCTCCAAGCAGAGACAACAAAACCAAGCCATACAGACAACTCCTTGTGTTGAGAGGTAACTCTGTGCAATCTCCAATATTATTTTACATTGCAATTAGATAAACGTATTTATGATGCTTTTGTCAAGACACAAAATGAATGTGAATTTTTAATCACCAGAAGATTTGAACAGAACTGAGAAGGCCCAGCACAGAAGAAAACCAAAACAAAAGAGAAATCTACTGCTTCCAGCAAACACAGAGGCCCAGGAAAAAAGGACGGAAGGGCCCCAAAAGTTTGACAACTATAAGCAGGGGGAGCTTAAGCAACTCCATGTGCATGCTAGCTCACCATCTGGGGATCTCTATTAATCTGGTAACCAACCCAGCTAGCCTGGCTTCTTGGATGCTGCACAGCAGCCCTGGCAGAGGTTATTTTTGGAAATATGGAGGGGGAGGGAAGATGGTTAGGAAAGCTACAAGATATCCTAGAAGAAAAACACATGAGTACATTAAACAGAATACACTGGCAAGACTTTTTTTTTTTTTGCCATGTTTAAAATCTGTTAGGGCAAAAGTTTAGAAACTTCGTGGGCTTATCTATCTGTTAAAAGTGGCAAAAAAAAAAAGAACATGGGGCTCCCAGTGGATACTTTATTAAACAGGGGTCCTATATCAGTTATCTAAGCCTGCTGGGAAGAGCACAAGTTGCTAAGTACATTCATGTGACAGGTCAGTGCACAAGTACATGAACTTTAAAAGAAAAAGTGTAAAGTTCGCAGGTTCCATGACCTTCAGACATTTCCTCTGGCGCTCACATGCACATAGAGGAAAACAGGGCCTAAATTCTCACCAATAGCACTACTAAAGCAGTAATTCTGATGTAAAGTGCGAACAATCTAAATGCATCCAACATTTTCAGAGAAGCCAAGCAAAGTGTACACTGCAGTATAGCTACTAATACACCCAAAGCTCCGATTTCTGTACATGTCTTTCAGAAGTAACACAAAATATGTGCATGCATTTACACTTACATCTGATTTTTAGCCGCTTGTCTCTGAGCTTTCCGTTCTTTCCTTTTTTGATCTGGTGGCTTAGCAAAAACAATTTCAATGTTTTCTCCCTCTAAATCTTTGCCATTCATTTCTTCCATTGCCTGAAGGAATTAACCAGACTTTAAATATACTTCTAAGCATATCTGAAGTAGTTTATTTTATTCTATCCTTTACAGTATGCATTTTAATTCTTTGTTATCCAGAACTAAAGCAAAATTATAAATCTAAGTCAAAGAGCATAGTACTTGGGTTTCAGAGAGTTATTCACTCCCTCTTAACTTCCCTCTAAAACCCAGGACTGCCTGAGTGCCGGTTTAAAATCTTCTACTTAAAACTGCAATATTCAGTCTTTACAAACTGGTGGCTTTAATTTTTGCAAACCCTTTCAATTAGTGAAATGACAGATCTGTCTTCTGAAAGGATAGTTTTTGCAGTAGGGGGTACATACAAATAGTACTAAAGCTAGAGATCAGTGTATGTTTTCATTCCCTCATTCTACTTGTAGGAAGCTTTCCCTTTTTTTAACGGAAGCCAGATATTAGGATTTAACATGCTTATTCCGACATATTAAAAGTAAGTAAGGGAGAAAACAAGAGAGGACACATCTCCCAGTGGTGACAATGAATATTACGTATAGATTTAAAAAGCAGGGAAATCCTAAAGATTCTACCATTTCTAGGGACTTTCTAGACTTCAGAGAGCTGGGCCTTGACAAAACACATATCCTGTAAAGAGATTCTTTCCATCATCTAGAGCATCTGCTTTAAGGCATCTGGATGAATAAGGATAGCGGAATCCCCTTGTATCCTGCACCATCCCACAGGAAGCAAACACTATATACACTGCAGGAAGGGCAGGAAATACATTTTCCTCTCCTATCAAAAGATAACAGGAGAAAAACCACCACCAAAAGGCTAATAAAATCCAGGAATTACAATTACTCAGTTATCCTGCACCACTCATCAAAAAGAAAAGGTGCTTACTTCACACTGTCAAAAGGAAGTTACTCTCTTCCTAAAAAATAAAAGGATTACCTAAGTTTCTATCATCTGTCCTAAAGAAACTGCTTTAAATTCTACCGATAATTTGGTGAGAAGTCATTCAACTTCTGGCACTTCACTTGTAAAAGGTAACACATGTGATTATCTGAGATACTTATCAGCAGAATTACTTAGGACAGTCGCATCTAAGATCCAGTTTCAAGCTAGCAACTGCATTTTCCTAGAAGACACCTACACAGGACAAAGTTATCGGTGACAATGCTTTAACATTCATCCAGATAAAGCTTTTTCTCAAATTAAAAGCACACAGCCTCTAAATGCTTGCTTAGCCACTACTACCACACACCCAAAGTTACAGCCTCCATCACTTACCTTTACTGCTCCATCCCGTTCATCAAAATGAATGAAAGCATAATCTTTTAGCTTCTTCACTCGTTCTAGCTTTCCAAACTGACTGAAGGCCTTTTCTAGGATCTCCTCTGTTACAGTATTGGCGAGATTGCGTACAAACAAAACTTTTACCTGAAAACAAAACAATAAAAAAAAAAGTCTTAAAAGTATGATCTGAATACACAACAAGTTTTGCAAGTCACTACTATTGGCAGCATGGGAAAGGTCACTTTGTTTTATGTGTGTGCGCGTGCGCACATTAATACAGACACATATATAAATATATATATACATATATATATATATATATGTTCTTGCAGCATGAGTTGGCTGCAAACCTTCATGCCTGCTAGAGCTATTAACACAGTTTTTATGATTACATAGCAAGAGTATCCTGGAAAAAAAAATAATAAAATCAATGCAATTTATGTTGATGTTGAAAAAATCCCAGCAGCAAGCTTCAGCTCGGGAACACTTTCAAAATTAAAAGACAGCATCCAAGGTCAGTTACGTGCCAAATAATTAACTTATCAAAACATTTCATTGTTTAGACAAGTTTTTACTAAGGTATCTGGAGAACAGTCACCACTGCAATATCTAGGTCAGAGGTTCTCGAGCTCTGCCATTCCACAGCTCCTTGACTTGTGGCTCCCATGCCAGAGCTCCACCAAATACCTAAGAGCAAGACTGTGCCTGCCGGAGCAGGCTTCCTGACCTGAATCCACAGTTGGAGAAGGGAACACGGTCATTAAGGCTCACATAGTGCAGGGCTGGCCTGCACTTTCTCAGAAGCTAAACGTGGCCCCTGCCTTGGTGAACGACCATCTTCCAACCATTCTGCCAAGCGGCTTGCTCCCCCAGCTCTCTAGTGTGCAGTATGACTCGTAAGGCACGTGAAAACGGATATGAAGCTTGGAGGGTCAGAAAGACTGGTTATCTTTAAGTATTTAGATATGCCTTAACTGCCCAATAGTCACTAAATCACCACCAGAATCTAAAGTTGTGTCAACCACACACAGATAAAAGAAAATATATGGCAGTCAGAGAAAAGACAACCTTTATTTTAAGAAAGCAGAGAAGTTAACATACGTCCTCTGCGAGTTATGCTGCACACCATGAATCACGTACGATACCGAGTTGCTATCACTTGAAGACCTGCCCTTGCATCAACGTTCAGATTACACTAAGTGACCACAAGCTATCATGTTTGCACATTACTCAGGAGGCTCATAGTTTATATGAGTGCCCTTCCTTACGCTGCCACTATGCCTTAACACCATGCCCACTACTCACACAGTGGCTATTAATGAAATTGAGTTACTAATAACTAGAACAAACTTTTATCACTCTGAGCCAGAAATTGGATGGGATGCAGGACCCAGAGGAAAGGATACTACAGACCATAATTCTGATCCAAACTCCAGTCTTTGGTAATACTACTCTAGGCAATTCTCAGGACACATTAAGAACCATAGTAAGCTCCAGAGAGAAAGCTTCTTTCTGTTCTGCAAGAAAGACTGCAGCAAAGAGCCTTTTCTTACTCTAGGAATGAGTTAAATGACCCACCACCAAGTGCTCACTTGCCCTCAACTTCTATTCAGCTGTAAACCAGACTCTACTTCATCCATACTCCCTTCACATATTCATTTCCCAACAAGCCTTCAACTCAAGCTACATTCAATGTCTTTAGCATATGGCACTAAATGTATACAAGACCATTTTCTGTACCTTTTCCGTATTTTCCACTTTTATTTCCCATTTTAAGTACTTAATAGAAGGTACTAAAAGACACAGTTTAGCACATTTGAAAATCTCTATGAAACAGGGCAAAACACTGTCAAGTTTTAATTTCTTTAGCTTTCATTAATTCTTTAGGTTTCACTCCCTACATCTGTGAATTTACTTTTGAAAGATACCTAATCATGTCCCTTATCACTTCCCACTTATCTATTCAGTCATGTCAGCAGAAGTCCCTGCTAATTTATTTTAGCTGGATTTTGCTAGATTAGGACTCTTCTCTTTGAGCCAGGGAACTGATCAGGTGGAAAAGCTGCCATATGGAGGAAATACCACCTTAGAAAAACTTCACCTGCAAGACTCTTCCCTGCTGCTAGCAGACTCAGATGCCAGGCAAGCACACGCGCACACACACATACCAAAAAATAAAAAATGAAAAAGAAAAAAAAACACTGCAGACAGGGTAGTCCAAAAGCTCTAATACGTGGAATTTAAAAACAGTTTTCCTAAAGTGAGCCCCAATTCCTGGTATTTTCCCTAATGGCTAACCAAATAGGAAGTCCCATCCAAGCTATCTTACTAGGTCCATCAAAGCAGGACTCCAGCAACTGATGCAGTTCTCTCAGATGAGAGAAAAAGCACAGATAAAAAACAAGCAGAAAGAGAAAAGGACATGGGCAAGCTATGAACCTGTACTGCATAACTCAGCTACACTTTAATAGCCTTTTTTTTTTTTTTTTTTGATAAAGCAGCTATGCTTAATCTGATGGCCAGAAATCAGGTAACCTGTTTCGGTATCAAAACATTGCACATACATAACAGAACTGTCAAAAACCACTTTGAAGTGCTAAGCGTTCAAAATTTTGCTTCGCTAAAACATTAAAAATCCAGAATATCAACATTCTTAACATTTCAATGAATTTAAAAAAAAAAACACAGAATTAGATACAAGTTTCAGGGAACGACTTCTAAAACCTATCTTAAAAAATCCCAGTCCTCCCTTCTGAAGTTCTAAATACAGAATTTCATTGCAATTAAGGTTTGCTCTGCCATCACCTCCCCAGTGTTAAGCTACAAGCCACCAAATATAAAGCTACAAACTACAACTTTTGGAGTCACTTTTCGGGATGCTATTTTAACTTTCACTAGTATCAGAAAATACTTACTTTAGAACACGGACTCTAAAAATATGCTTCCCTTATCGCTTTATTACCTTTGCCATGACTTCAGGATCTGGATCTTCTATAGGATCAGCCCATTCAACTGTAACAACATTTCCCCAGACTTTCACTTTGCCGCTCATTAACCTACGTCTGGCCTGAGCAGCAGTTTTGTGATCTTCATATTCAAGGAAACAGAAACCTCTGTTCTTTTTCTTGTCATCAGGCTGATGATACAATATGACATCTGTAAGACTCTCTGAAATTAAGCAAAATATTTATCTGTAGTATAAGGTGGGGATTAGCCTTCCAAAAGCATCTTACAAGTAATTGCAAAACAAGACACTTTCAAAGAGAAACTTCACACTATCCCAATGCACTTCAATCACAACACCATATTACCTGGACATTCATGGAAAAAAAAAATAAGACAGATCAAACTTTCGTGATTTTAAGACTTCTAAAAAAATTCAGTAATGCTCCAAGGAACTCAAGCATATCATCTGCTAAAGTCATAAAATGTTGTCTTTGTCAGTCTAAGTACAGCTACAAAAAAGAGATTTTTATCAAATCATTAAAGATTCTGAAGCACAGAGGTCATTATGTTCTCAATCTTGCTTCAATTCTGCTATAAAAAGATTTAAAAGATCCTTTAGTTTTGACATTACAAACTATCCATTTCTTTGAATGGATACTTTAAACAGCAGGCAGTTATTTGCCATGTAAAACTTGGAGCTGCGTACCAGTGTAATCACATTTTTCAGCTTGCAGAAGAATAGAGCTTTTTTGAAAAAAAAAAAAAAAAAAAGTTAGTCATGCTAGGAGTCAAGACAAAAGGTAAGTGATCTCAATCAGAAGCTGAAAGATGATTAGATGGTTAAAAAAGTTATCTCTAATCACGTTTTACATCTCTCCAGCTCTAAAAATCATGGTTACAGACTTACCTGTTACTTTGCTAAACTCTTCAACAATTTGCTCCTTAGTTTTACTCTTAGGAATAGAGCCAACAAAAAGCCTATTATTGGCAACAGAGATGCATACACCAATGTGTTTTCCGGAACGAATTTCATGATTGTTGTACTGAAAGGAAAACAATTAAACAATCATCAGTTACAGAACATTTTCACTGTAACAGCAGCACAACAAATATTTTCCTTCTTCAATTGTAACACACAGTAATACATTAACATCCTAAGAGCTTAACGCATTCTTACTACATTCAACTAATAGTTCTGCAGTATATCATTTTTTTCTAAGAAATCTCCACGATTTTCACCAATATTTATCTTTCTCTTCTGCTCAAGCCTCTTACTTAACACACATTCTTTGTGTGTTAAGTGTCAAGAGTTTTACTCAAGGGAGATTTTTTCATATAGAACAAAAGACAGATCTTGCATCTGTGTACATGCTACTTCTCACAACATTTCAGGAAAAGATAAAGTCGCCCTACACACTGCATCCATGAATTCCTAAATTGACTCTTGTGTCATAAAAGACAGGTGTTATGATGCAGATTCCCTTCAAGAGAGCCACAGTTAACAGAAGAAAAAAATAAAGAAAAACACACACACACGAACACCTTCACACTATTCATGATTAAGTCTCCCCCCAGAAGTCAGTGTGAAAGAGCAATTGTCAAATTCTCTCCAAAGTACTTAGACTGTACACAGAAATCCAAGGATATCTGTACAAAACCCTCTCCCAAAACAGGTAACTCAGAAGTTTCCACAAATAAGATAGGAGTTCAAGGGACATTAAATAAATAAATAAAGGAGGCACCTGTAGAAAAAACGCCTTTCATTCAGATGCAGAATAGATATACATCACCTAAATAAGAAGCAGGGAGGATAACTGCTGGTATCTCAACCACTTTTCCACTGAAAGCCCTGTAATATACAATTCTGTAGCTAGGAAAGCGTATTTTGTGGTCAACATTTTATTGACAAGCAGTAGGCTAACCTTAAGATTAATCTTACTATAAATTTTAGGAGCAATTCCACTCTTGATAAATGCTCCTGCAGAAGCAAGACTTCCCACACTTCCTATAGCTCTGTGTATTAAAAACAGAGTGAGGATGTTTGTTTACATCTTACATTTATCTGTCAAACAGCAAAAAGTGCATTACATTGAAAATCTTCACTAAAGCTTGACAATTAAGTCAAAAGTGAGCTAAAATGAACATTGTATATGTGAGAAGTATCTGTACTTCATATCAGAGTACGCAGATTTCCAACTAGTTATATATGTCCCAAAACATATTAAAATTCAGTAAAAAACTTCTGTCTGTAGATCTCTTGCCCATGCTATAGAGAAAGAACCAATTTTAAAGGAGGCAAGAAAACAGTACGAGACTCTATACATTTTACAACTATGGCACTGATAAGTAGACTTGTAAACATGAACTTACAACTTACGCTAAGTGGCTAAAAAAAAATCTTAAAAAATAAAAAAAAAATGCAGTGCATAACTTAAAATGCAGACAATTTATTAGTCTGGATACAATACACAAATTGATTCTTCTTCAGTTGTGTCATCTACAATGTAAGACATTATCTGACTGTTTTTATTAAATCTAAGACCAAAAATTGGCTTCATGTGTAACTTAAGAGCCTCTCACAAACCTCCTGACAACGAAATACCATTTCATAGTCAAACTGCATAAATCTCTACTACATTCCATATATACAGTGGTTCCTAAACAGTTCTTTCATACTTCAATATGTTAACCACTGCTTTGCATTGCATGTTTTTGTTAGCACAAAATTATGCCTTAAATTAGGTGCTCTTAGAGATAAAGCTTGTGCTTTATTAGGTAATTAGTTTGCACATTAGCTGTAAACTCAGATTAGATCTGTACAAGCCCTAAAATGCCAAAAAGGAGTAAGGCTACCAAAGCAGCAAGGTCAGCAAAACATTTCTCTGTCCCATCACTAGTGACTGAATGCCCGAAGTTAGTCACACAAACATTCACCTTCTCTAGGCTCTATAAAAGATACTGACTCTCTTTTGCTATGTTCTTCAAGAACAGACTTTAAAATAACGGGTCAAACTATACTCAAAGTCTGTTCTGTCATTCTACCACCCACTTAAACTTTCATGAGCAGCTTTAGTTTATTTTCAGCAGCAAACAACAAGTTGTAATGCTGTGTGTAGATGGGAAACTGTTTAACATGCACAATTCACCTGGATCTACACTTTGATCTAACTTCTTGCTCTATTGAAAACCAGTGAGAACACAACCAGTGTGTATTTCCCTACAAAATTCACCATCTCAACTGTTGTACCTCTTCCTACAGAAAACATAAGCACTCCAAAGCCTGTTATTAGAGCAAAATCTGCAATTGTGAACTAGTATAAGGGGAAAATGAACACATGCGTCGAATACAAGTGAAAATGTAATCCCTAATTCAGACAGTTTAAAATAGACATTAAATGCAATTATTATCAGAGCTGACTTCTTAAAGACAGAGCTTGTGCAAAAAGAACATTTTAGCTGCCACTTCTAACCAGGACTGGGGAAAGACTAGAGAAGGTCCAACCGTGCACGGGATTAAGTACAGAACATAAAACTACCTAGTGTTAGTGTATGTAAGTCTTCTCAGCATGAGATGATGCTATGGCATCATTAATTAAGGCTTGAATCTTTCAAGATGGGAAAAGTTATCTGTGTAGTGAATAACACAAGCCAACATTAACTTTATTCACAACTTTAGTTCACTTTTCTGTGATGTTGTCTTAAAGTTTGTGGATGATACAGCAGCCATCCGAAGACAAATCATGTAAAGTACTGCTATGCTCACTGATAGAGCCTAAAGACAGCTCAGTTTACTCTCTGTTGCTGTTTATTGACAAAAATCTCCAATATGTCCTTTTTATTAACACACAGAGGTCTATAGGCAATTTTATCACATTTTTGCTATATGTCTCAGAAGCTCTGAGAGAGAAAAAGCACAAAGCTTTTAGGAAGAAAATGGGAAACAACAACAGAACTTTGATGCCAGTGAGTCCAGAAAGCTGGGAAACAAATCGTCTGTCTCTGTGCAGAGACTAGATGCAGTCTCAAAAAGAGCATTGGCTGTTAACATACTGGGATGTTACAATTAACAGAAAGAAGGAATCATCAATTCCAAAAGAATTTCAGCAGTCTCCCCCAGTGCACACACAAGTGATGGACAAAAGATTTTCAACAGGTATCTGCAACTGTCTTCCAGGTATTCAAAGCAGTCCGAGACACTTGTCTCGGAAATATATATATATATACATATATACATATACAAAAAATAGCTAGCCAAATACTGCTAGAACTATTCAAAGACTCTGATAAATGCTAACTGATCCAGCTTTTCCAGCTCTTTTTTCCAACTACTGAGTTCAGCCACCATTTAACTTAAAAACAGAACATTCATCACCTATTTTTTCCTGCATATCAAAGATCAGCTATAATACTGAGCTATATGTATTTCTTCACCGGTATCATTTAGTGGACAACAGAGGCCAAAATCTGTTGTTACTTTTACGGAAGCAAAATTTGCTTAAAATGCCTTAAGAGCATGCTACATTTAAGCAAACTTAAGCTAACAAAAGATTTTATCTACTAGGGGCCCTCTGAGAATATATTTGGCTTGTTTCACTGTTCTGAGTCATGTGCACTACTGCAAAAAGTTCATGCAAGAGATGAAGAGCTAAATTGAGGATAAAAGGACACAGGGCTATGCACAAAGTTGAATTATCCCAAGTATATCTGGACTGTAGACAAGAAGACAAAAAGTTCTTAAGATAAATTAAAAATAATAATAAAAACGTTTAAATGTTAAAAAGCCCCATCTTCACTTTGCTTTGTCTCTACAATTGACTTAAGATGGTAACAAATCACCTTAGCAATCCAGGAGATGCACCTTATTCCAAAACTCAGGTTTAAATCTTACATAGTAAGATTATGTAAATCTTACATAGTAAGATTTAAAGATCAATCTGCTTCAGAATTAGTATGCTTAGCACTCTTGAGGGTCCTATCATACACTGTAATCTCACACATATCAGTGTAGTAATAATTATCTCTCACTGCAGCAATCGCTAACTCAAAGAATATAAATTCCCCTGGGAAAAAAAAAGAAAGGCAGGGGGGCAGTGGCAGGATATAAGTGGGTTCTGGTTTGTTTTTATATGATGGAGGCTTCATGCATAAAGCCTAGAAAGCTTATTAAGAGTGACCTAGTCCTTCAAACAAGCTATTTCACACCTCCGCCTGGAACAGCAGATAAAGTTTACTCTAATCTGGCAGATTTTCTATCATTTTCCAGACAGTTCCAATAGAATAGAAAGTCATTACTTCCCATCTGAACTATCTTCAGAAATTCCATGACTTTAGGAACCTATTTCCAGTGTGGGGCCCTCTGCTGGTACACAAGCAAATACGAAGTCACAGAAACCCAATCAACTCATCTTTTGGAGAAGAGGGATGGGGGGGTGGGCAAAGCACTTATCTCCAAAAGTCATTCAAAAAGCAGACAGATCAAAAGCCACTCCTAATAATGTAAGAATACAGGCTCATCAAACTGAAGCAAGTAGCAGTCCACCCACTTGTTTCCTCCTTGTCCGTAATATGCCCAGTAACAACTTATACACAGAATTCTGTAAAAAATATTTTAAAGACACCTAGTGGATATTTATGATATGACGTTAATAGTGACAGAGTTTCTTCCTAAGCATTTAAGCACTAAGATAAGGACAGTTGCTTAGAACCCAGTGTATTTAAAAAATAGAAATAACAAAACTTACCAGTTTAACAGCCTCCTGAGCTGCCTCTTTAGTACAAAAAGTGACAAAAGCATATCCTCTATTTAGACCAGTTAATGGATCCATCATTAAGCGAAGATCCCATATAGGGCCGGCCTTCTCAAATAATGGAACAAGCTCATCTTCAAATAAGTCTCTTGGAATCTTGCCCACAAATATCTGCAACAGACATATACAGTATAACTTGTAAAAAAAATATGTCCAATAAATATGACTATGTTTACATAAAGATCTCCTTCTCACCTCTGTACCAACAGAAGGTTGTTGGCCTGAATATATCGACTCTGGAGGAGGTCCACCATACTTTCGCTGTCCAGTAGTGACATCAAGAGTGTAGCCTGTTCTCTCCAAGAGTGCCTTCAAATAAGAAACTTAAATTTTTAAAATCATAAACCAACTCAGCTCATTTAGACACACTTCATTCACAAAAACAGCATGCTTACAGTTAAAATTGTACTGTTTCAAAACCCTCATATGCAAGCAAGTTTATCGCTAACGCTTCAGCAAGGAACTTGCAGAACAACAATTAATAACTGCCAGGTGAAGATATGTCATCAGAAAATTAAAGGTTCACGTGGAGGTTTCCCCAATTCCTTCATTTTCATACAAAAAAAAACAGAAACAAAAAAAAGGGAAAAAAAATCATCCAAGTAATAGAACAGCAAGCTTCCCTTTAATTAGAAAGATCTTAACAGTCCGAGTCATTTCTTGTTTTGGCATGTCCAATCCTGCAAACATTTATGCACAGAAGTTCCCTTCACTTAATGAGGTTACTCATAAGTGTGAAGTAAAGAACACATGTTTAAGTGCTTATACTCCTGGAGCTCTCTTCTTACTGCTTTGGGTACCCCACCACTAAATACTAAATACTACTTATTTTCTCCTATCCTGTCCTTTATGTATCTCAAATTCCTTGTGAACACATTCAACAACCCAGGACAGATGATTTTCACTAGAACCACTGCACAGAGGTACAGATACATTTCTGATTAAAAGTGTTAGATGACATTCAGCATGCAGATATGTAATAAGAAACTCTTCTAGAACTAGTCTGCCTCAGTAACTTTGTAGAAGAAAAAAAACACCACATACAAAGAAACAGCCTACTAGACAAATCTAGACAAATCAAGAGTTAAAAATAACTTCATAACCTAAAAAATGCAAAACAAAATTTTAAATGCTTTAGCCATCAGCAGTAAATGCTATCGTAGGTAAGTCAATGCAGTCTTCATTTTGAGCTAGTCAATGTAATTTTTTGTGATGGTGACTGGAACCCATACTCATTTATTGGAATTTATAAATCATGGTATTAAACCCTCAAAGAGATGAGACAAAAATAAAAAAGACATTCCGGTTTTGCAAACTACATAGCTATTTATAGTATTTTTAATAGTAATTTTGCACTTTACACAAAAAAAGTTCAAGATGAGAGGTACTCTAAGATGGAAATAAGCATACTTCATTGTTAAGTTTTAAGCTGAAATAAACTTACTATTGTAAAAAATAACTTCAACAGGACTTTGCAACTCTGATACACAGAGTATACAACAGAAAACTGATACCAAGAAATAATAATGTGGCCATTAAGACAATTCTGCATAGTTTCCATAAACTGTACAACAATGACATAATAACAGGCTGAACCCTATATCCTCTCTAGTCTATTTTCTTCAGACACGTGTTATCTTCTCCCTACTTCCTAGTTACCTTAAATCTGAATGAGGGCGTGGGGATACCCAGGCCAATCACTGAGTTACACTTTTTGAAAGCAGTCTAAATGCTGAAAAGTATGCAAAATTTTCACAGTGAAATAGTTAAACTGTTTCAGCAAGTGGCACTTGTCAGTGTACAAGCATAGTAACTTTTCAAGTCTTTCACTTTTGTATATATTCCAATAAGTAACACCTTCATCTTGAAAAAGATCAATACGCAAATAAGAGCCTCCTGATAACAAATAAGCTAAAATAGCCCTTACTAAGAAGGCACAGTTCCCAAAGAAATAAGGCATCAGTAATGACAGCTTGAAAAACCACACATGTAACACATGTATTGTACACCTTTTAGGTTCATACCTTAATTTTTGCCTCATCTGGTCCTTTGCTAGAATCTGCCACCTTGGTCCCCTGTTTTTCCCTCTGCCTGTATGTCTTCATGACTCCACATAGAAAGGCACTTTTGTTCTGTAAGAGATGTATTAATCTTCAGTTCTGCAAACACGACAAGCCAGAATCCAACTTTGCTTTGGACTAATAGTGTCTTACATGTCGCATACAGATAGCTGAAAAGACTTAAGCAAAACTCTTGCTAGTCTACGAGCAGTTTGTCCCTCAACAATTATATTCCAAATTGCTTAACATTACCTGAACATGTGAGAGATCGCTGTCTTTAAACTGTTGAAGCACTGCCAATGCACCTTCTTCATTAAATTCCTTTAAAGCTTCAATAGCTCTTTCATCTAGATCACTATGTGCAACTAGCCCTAGAGAAAAGAAAAAAAATACTCATTGTATTTCAGCATTTGTTTAACCATATTTAAAACCTCTAACATATCTCAGTGACCCCTAAAGCAATCACTGAATAACATTAAGTTACTGTACCTAAGAAACCCACCACTTATTCCTCTTCGAGGTTTTTTTTTTTAAAAAAAAACATGATTAACATCTTTCTGTCAAAAAGAAGCAACAAAAAGTTAAGATCCAGAGCAAGTGTTATTGCATTTATGTTTTCATTCAACTTCTGTGAAATCCAGATGTTACACAGGCTAAGTTTATTTTCAATATCCTGCAGCTGAATACAGAGGGATCCATCAAAACCTGACTTAAGCTTGACCAGCAAAGTAACTTGATACATTTTGAGAGAGGACTGTAAAGACCATATAAGCTACAGCACTAAAAATGACAACCACAATCCAAAAAAGAAAAAGAAATCAAGTCTTAAAAAAAAAAAAAAAAAGCAAGCAATGTTACGCCTGAGAAACACAATAACCATCCACAAGCTCAAATGCTACCTCACTCAGTATTATTTCCAAGAGAAGATGACTACCAAAGCTTCAGTTATCCAGAATTACCCACAACTACTATACAGATGCACTAAGACCACATCACCTACTCCTCCTAAAAATCATCTGTTGGCTGTTCCAGCTGTTCCTGCAGTTACATGTACACTTTTCCCACCCCTCAACCCAAGTGACCTGGCCCGAGAGTTCTTTGAAAAATTCTGTGACAAATTAAAGCGCCAAGTTACCCAAAAAATAAAAATGGTAAGACTGCAGTCCCCATACTTTTGGAAACCACAAAAAGTTGCTATTTTAGCCCAAAGACAGCAGAATCCAATAAAATATTGTAAGGTGTGGTTTTGCAAGTTTTGCATCTTACCTGCAACGTAAATTTCATCTAGTTTTTCAGCAACTTTCTGTGGTAAACCAGCATCAAGCAATGTCTGGAAATGCTCAGAATGGGTAACTGCAGCAGAAGTATCCATGGGCTCTTCAGTACCATTCCCATTAACATGTTCAGTAGCCATGTTTCCAGATATCTGTTCAAATGCAATAGGCATCACAATTAAGCTAGTGTCATCTTCAAGCAGAATAATTCAAGTGACAAAACATGCAACAGACTGCTCTGTTCTTGCAAAAAAATGAAAAATGAAAAACAAAATCAAAGAAAATCAATCTGCGAGCTCATCCCCTGATGCTTCTGGTTGTTGGGAAAGATGCACCAAATTCCTCAGAAGAAGCGCTAACACAAAGGAGAGCCCTAGCACGGCTGCCTCGCGGGGGTGGGGTGCCTCTCACTGCAGGTTTTGCACAAGTCTGCCAG